GTCATCTTCAGCTAAGTTATATTTTTTGTAACAGAGTGGTTGGCCTTTGGAATGAGCTGCCTTCCGATGTTGTGGAGGCAGTAAATTTAAATGAGTTTAAGAGAAAGCTTGGTAACTATTCGAATGATAACGGCTGGCTTTGAGTTTTTTTATTTATTTGATAGTTTTAGTTTAGTTTAGAAGATGGGACAGCCAAGATGGATCAGTAGGTTCCTTGTCACCCCTAAACATTATGTTAAGTTGGTTGACATACACATGAATAGTTCACAAAACCCTAAATAAAAAAAATAAATAAAAAAGATGTCATGGCATATTGGACCAATGTAAAACTCTACCAAGTTTCAAGTGAATCCACCAAGAAGAAATAGTGGTTGATTGAAAAGTGTTTGGAAGAAAAAGAAAGAAGAAGAAACAACAGAAAAATGTAAAGCATCTAATTATTGTAGCAGATACAAATTATTTATATCCAAGTGCAATAACTCAGTATACAGTATAGTAAACATTCATGAAACAAAGATTTTATATTTAACATTGTTATAAATATTAAAATATCTATATTAATTTCAGAATCCTGGTAGTATTCTACCATAAAGTTCATGCTCTCTTACTTTTACATTGATAATCTACGGTTACACTGGGTGTGATAAACAAAGCACCAAAACTTGAGACTTAAGGGAGCATTTCATACCAGTATTTGTGGTGATGGAAAATTCATTATTTCTCTTTTGTTTTTCTACATTGTAACTTAATACGTGCTCTATTTCTATTCCTATTACAGTGTTACTAGTAGTTAATGCAACTATCAAATGTATATGTACATAGGTTTGCCAAATTTTGGTTTTAGAAAATTGGGACACAACTATCAAGTGTATATGTACATAGGTTTGCCAAATTTTGGTTTTAGAAAATTGGGACACATATCTGCTAGGACTGTAGTAGATTCTGGTGCAAAACTCCAACCAAAAACACAAATTTTGTGTATTTTAAGTATAAAAACTGTACAACTTGGTAAAATTGTGAAAGAAAAATTATATTTCTATTTGATAAAAAAAAAGAACATATAATTCTTCCAAAATCTTAACACTTTTGATAAATTGATTTTCAGAAAAGCATGTACAGAAATTGATGCTGTTAAAATTAATTTTCACAGTAATATCATGCCAGTTTCCGCATCAAAAACATGCCGGACAGTTTGACATGTTGTGATTGGGCCAAGTAAAAAAAAAATACATGTTTTGCATCCCCACTCACTTCCTTTTTTGTAGCACCCTTCCCCACTTTTATTGGTGATTTTTTAGAATTATCATTTTTCTATCATACAAAGAAGACTTCTGAATAAAAAAGTGAAATGAACACAGTTAATTCATTTTGCCTTTTTTTTCTTTATTTGTCGGAAATTCTGTATCGTTTTGATGAAAAAATGAAACAAAGAAGACTTCTGTTTGACATGAATCCTTTGGAAACAAGCAACAATCATGTAAAAAAAGTGCAAACTTTGTTTAAAGAAGTCACTTAAAAAAAAGATATTTTCTTTATTTTCTTCTGAAAACTCTGGACACTAAACATGTTTTTTACTTGGTCTTATGCTTAGTTTTTTATTTCTCATACGTTTCCATTTCAAAAACAATAAAAGTTGAATATAAAATAAGAATGATATATATATCATCAAATTGATGATCAATTTAAAAAAATCTTTTCTGCTTGCAAGTAATTTTTTGATTTTAAACCAAAGATCCAGGAAACTCAAACTTCCTTTTTAATTTTCACTTTGCAGGCGGGACGTGTGGATATGCTAGGTATTTTAATACCGATGGATAATGGCTGGTACATCTTTTAAAAGAG